CATTAGAGATTTTCCCTCTACCTTCTCAGTTTTCGGGAAAAAAACCTTCGCTCAACATTGGAAAATTTCATCAAACAGGCTAGGGCCATGACGAGGAGGCATGTTCATGGCGCACAGCACGAGAGAGCGGTCATCTGCAAAGCTAGTTGCGTGATCTTATTTTTTACTACACACAAGTAAGCGTACTATACAAATAAGAAGAAATTTCCCAGCCTCACTCAGATTTCGGATTAAACCTTCGCTCAAAACATTTGGAAAATTTCACCAGATAGGCTAACTGTCCAGCCGAATGATCTATGATTTCTATATTGAACACAAAGGAGGAGATGTTGACGCAGGGGCTACGTGTTAAGTATTTAACGCGCCGCTGTGGAATAGCGACATGAAATCTAGGAAAAAAAGCAATCGATCATTCACAATACAATGGACGATGTTGAGTACGCGGGCGGTTATGGGGCAACTGCGGAGACCATCTCTCCTGAAGAACAATCATGAAGCATAAGCGGGATTATATTGCGCACCACATCAAACAGTTTTTTCTCGAGCCAAAACTCGAGTGCATGGCGCGATCTGAAGTAAGCTTTCTTAAAGTTTAAAAGCACATTGCATAGAACTCGACGAGCTGAGCTCAACGTCGTTTTCAGATTTCAAAATATCTTAAATCTGAAGCGAGTTACAACGAAAAAAACGAAAAAAGAACGCAAAATTTGCGTTTTGTCGCGTGTTTTTTCGATTTTTTACAAGCGAGTACCGTAGTTTTCCACATGTTAAGCTCGCCACAGAGAGACGAGTCCAATGGTGTAAGAGCCACCATCTTTTGACCCGCTTTGGGGAGTTATGAAGGGCGAGACGCTTTGCGACGCTGCAAATCGTTCGCTCGCGGAGAAATTTTCAAAAGTTAGTGGCGGTATTGTAGATAATTAGTTGTTTGGGGTGTAGTTACTATGGAAAAGACAGAAAGACTTGAAGGATCTTGCGCGGATATGATTCTATTTCAGTCATAAATCACTGGCTTGAGACACTATATCCACGATAATAGTGAAAAGAACCGAAGATTGCTTTCTGTTTGATTAGAAATTCGAAATCTCGAAAATGCTGCGACGGGTTCGAATTGCCCACGGACGTCTTTCACGAATGCTGGCGACGGGGATGCTCAACGTTGGTTGTGAGTTGATTTAATAGGACTCTTTCTGGCCTTCTGCTTGCTTGCATTCAAATCTGTCACTTCTACTCCATCCTATTCCATCGATCGATTTGTTTCCTCATCTCGAATCGAATTTTCCAATTCTTAGTACCCAGCAGAGTGTAGGCTTAAAAAATGGCAAGGATGTTCTCTAGAGTACAGCTATTTTTTGCCCATTAGATATGAAGAAAAGAGACTTCTATTACGACAATGGTCCGATGCAAACCTCCCACCTTCTTGCCGACTTCCTTAACTCGGAAAGAAATGCTACTGATCAAGTCAAAAGCTGAACTCTTAATTAAGGGCCGCTTAGCAACAGAATCGTCCGGAGATCCGCGCTTGTGGTCGCGGCCGCGACGTCGCGACTGTAGTGGACGAGTTGAGCGTCATTCGATTTGAATTTCAAAAGGAGGCTAAACCGACTCCACCCTTTATCATTTCACTCGCACGGCTCATGTCACCGTTTATCCTTCTTTTGCACTTCATTTTCCATTTTCACCACTCTTTCAGACCTTTAGCCACATTGATCTCATTTGTTCTTATTTGGAGCCGCTTCGTCATCTCGGAAACTCAAAGAAGGGGGACTTTAACGATTAGCTACGATTAGGGCGGAAAAAAATCACTGTCTGATCTCAGCAATCTCCAACTTCCCTCGACATCGTTGTAATCCTAATGTGAAAGAATAACGACAGCTAAAATAAGAATTTAAAGTTGATGGGCCAGAGCCAAAAGGGTAATGTGGACCGCAGCAAATCTGTCGTTCCAATCGACAAAGTCAATTAATGCCACGCCCATCGAAAAAGTGCCGCATTACGGTGCCGCGCAAGTAATCGCGCGCGACGGGGCCACTCCCAGCCGATTCTGTTGCGCGCTCCCCTTAATTGAGTGTTGCAGTTCGGAGAAAATCTCGCATGCCGCTCAACCGCATACAGTGTGTCCCAGAAATATAGAGGGACACCCTATTTTTCTCCGTTTCTGCTATAACCAAATGATTTCTCTTCAAACTTTATCAACAATGCACTACTACACCAGGATGCAAATACATACCCTCCGCTTTAAAAAGTGAAGTGTCGGGTACAGACCATGCACCACAAGTGACGACGATCTTCACAAAATGTTAATGCTTTCTGCCAATGGAATGATTGACCTGTTGCGTTGTATTCTATCGGTTGTCACTAATACAACTATCATTTACTTTAAAGGAGGATTTCACGATTAGAATGAAGGTCGAAGGAAGGTGAACTGACCTAGTTGGGGGAGGACTCACGAACCTCCTGAGGGTGCGAACTGACGCACAATTCGCATGGAAAAATCTGACCTCGGCGACCTATCATGCCTCATGGCGGGTTCTGCGATCTCCGCCCACCGATCATCTGACCACTCGCCATAGTTCAATACGTGGCGAGTGTTTAGATAGCTGAGAGAGCGTAGTGTTGAAGAGGGCAGAGCGATGAGAGTCGCGTCAATGCTCGAATCAACGGGCAAGGAAGGGGTACCATTTCTCGGGTTCTGGGCCGTTTCTCATGGTTCTTCTTTCGTGTACCACTCACCATCTCTAGGTTAATTTGAAATGGATGCTTTTGCATCGTGAATTCGTCCTTTAAATCGGCTACTACTATTAACAACTTCTTTCCAGATTTACTTAGAGGCCGTCGTCAGTTGTAGTGTTTGGCCTGCAATCAATACTTTCTCGCTTTTTGAAGGGGAGGTTAGGTGAAATTGGAATGAAAAAATTCCGCAGATTTTTTATGATTTTTTTTTCTAAAATCATGGCGTCCCAAAAGTATAGGGACACTGGGTTCTTCTGCAGTGTTTCTGAGTTGGTGAGTTGTGAAACCAATTTGTCACCGCTTCACTTCCCACACTTGTTACAGTGCCATGCCACGAAGAATGCACCTACATGACTTCGAGAAATGCCATATTCAGGTTACAATGATATGGGACAGCCACCGCAGCATTTCAAGGTAATTAGGACGATCAGTCAACATGGTATGCAAATTCTGCAACAGCATCATCTCCTGCTGTACGAAAAAAAGTAGCGGGAGACCTAGGAAAGTTTTGGTGAGGCAAAAGCGCCGTTTTCCATGCTCCATCCAATTGCATAGAGGGCGTGAAGCGGCTAAGCAAGGAACCCGATGTGTCGAGAAGTACTGCTCATCGTATGCTCAGATCATGTCCCTGCATCGTTCAAAGGCAGTTTTTGACTACGCTATGTTCGATGAGTGCGTATGGAGAAGCACGAGTCTTTTTCGCAAAGGAACGCGTAGGCTGGACTCGTCAATGGGATCATGTACTTTGGACTGGCGATTCCGCGTGTAATATCACACAGTGCAGCGCTCCAGGTGGATCTTTCCGATGAAAAGAAGTCTAATTTGGATGAACCCGATGGCCTGGCAAGCTGTTGACGCGATTTGAGGAAGGAGCCACACTACTTTTCCAGACGCGGATTCGATGGCGGTAATTTCACGGTTTGAGCTGCCTTCACAACTCGGTATGAATGAACTGGTTTTTGTCACTCAACGCTTGAACTCCAGTAGCTACAGGACTATCCCCCAAAACAATTCTGTACCATACGTGCAGCGATTTCCACCTTTTAAGTTCAAATTCCAGAAAGACAACGCCGCCGTTTATGTAAGTATATCTACAAGGAGTGTTTCCAGTGCAGAAACACTAAGTACCTGACTTGAATCCGATAGAGAACCTGAGGGGCACACTCACACGGGACGTCTACGCCAACTGCAGACAGTTTGAGAACGAACAACAGCTGAAAAAAGCCGTCAAGGAGATTTGAGAGCAGATATTGCCCGAAAGGATTTCATGGTTTGCCCAAAGCGTGCCGAAGCGGATGATTCAATTTATTGAAAGAGGAAGAAATGTTACTACTTCTCCATCATTGTTGTTATTATTGATTTCATTAAGTATATCGTTCGAGAAGTTTGTACGCCGAAGTCTCCCTAAACACTTGTTACGCAATGATTTTAGAAAAAAATTATAAAAGTTCTACAAGATTTTTTCCTCCCAGTGTTACTTGTGTATTTGTACGGTGGTGTGATAATGCATTGTTGATAGAAATCTGAAGAGGAATCATTCGCACATTATAGACATATTGAAAAAATATGGTGTCCCTATACTTTTGGGGCACACTGTATTAGTGAAGGATTCCACAAAACAATTTGATCAAGCTCACAAAGTGTAGGCTTCAACTCAAGAGTCCAGAAGGTTCCAATCAATTCATTATCAATACAAAACGACGTTGTTATAGAACTATGCAACTACCCAACAAATTATCAATTTCTCTTGTGAATTTGAGAGCTATTTGCTGAATTGGCTTTGGAATAGTGGGGTTCCCAATGTTTTGACGCGCCTTCTTTGGGGAAATCTAATTCTCAACGAGGATTTTTAGTTATCGAGAAAAAATGTTATCTTTCGCGTTTTCCGCACGATTTTTTTTTCGATTTTTCATATAATCTATGAATTTGGGCAATCTCTTTCTTCACTGTGCGTTCTGGTACGACAATGAAGGTATTCTCAAACTTTTGAACGCCACTGTACATGTATGCAAGTTGCTCTGCGTCTCTGCCGCGTAAGCTGTCTGGAGACAATGTGTTATCCTAATCATTTCCGGAGGCCCAACTTGGTGCGAAACTCCATTGAAACGTGGGAGTTTCGCCTGAGACAACGCTTCTGCTTTTTGGTTCCACTCACATGTTGTTGTGTAGAAGGCATAAAATTCCGGCTAGGAATAGTATATTGTTTCTGCTGAAATCGAGCGAGCTTTTTGTTAGCTGTTCGTCTCTGAATAACACTTGCTTTCCAGCGGTTAGCACAATGCGATCGCGTCGTGTTCGTGGACAACGGAAGAATAGTAGCACATGGAGAACACGAAGAGCTACTTGCAACTTGTACTCAGTATAAAGAGTATTGTGAAAGTGCATCTGTTCATGGACGAGGTATAGTGCATTAGAAATAAGATTTTTGTGACAAATCATACTCTTCTAGAAGTGACGATGAGGCAGAGCTTCTTGGATAACTCAAATCTAGAAGGACGTGTGGCTTCTCCATCGGAGGATGATTACGATAAAGTACCTTAATTCCTATCTGTCTCTTGCTTGTCTTCTTAGTAGGAATACGTTTCTGAACGATATCCGTTCCAGGTCGAAGACATCGACATTCGCGACGCCAGTGCCAAACTTATCTCGGAAGATGAAAATAAAGGTTGGTAGTCTTGGTTTGGCAGTAACCGCGGGTATGCGACTGTCCTATCTCCTTTGTCTCGATCTGCGTATTATGATCGGGTTCAAAATGGAGTTGTTGTAATGGGAAGTGATGAAACAACCACACATTCAAAAAAGCGGATCCTGCTCAGTCGTCTTCGACTTCGTGTAGGAAGCTTGCGTTCTACTGTAATTGCATCATCGCACTGCTTCAGGCAGAGTTGTCGACGATGAAGAAGATCTTGGCTTAGCCGCTATGTCGTTTACTGTTTACAAGTTAGTGGTTTCTCCATTTTTAATATAATTGACCTCATCGGCGTGTCCATCAGGCTATCTTGTCTAGAAGTTACATTCGAGCTGCTGGCAGTTGGCTGGTGTGGGTGTTGTTACTTGCTGCTTTTGTTCTTAACATATCCGCTTCAATCTTCTCCACTTTTTGGTTGTCACGTTGGCTAAAAACAGGTCACCACGAAGAGGTGTGTGCTTCACTTATCCAGATTCTGTTTTAAAAGTAACAATTGTGTGATATATTTGTAGCTAGTCGAGACTAATGGTAGCGTGCGGTTGCATTCGGAAGGAAGTCTTGCTGATAGTCCTGACACACCATATTTCTCAACAGTTTATGGTGTTTCGCTTGTTGTCCTTTTTCTCTCGGGACTTTTGAAGGCAATGATTTTTGTAAAGGTCAGATTTTGACGTTTTCCAGTACGTTTTAAACAAGCATAACTTCGTGTTGACCTACGCATTATCATATAAAAAAGTCATGATTGCTTTAAGAATTTCTTATGTCGAGCCAACCCTCTCCCTTCCAAAAAATTTTATGTTTTCTTGGGCATCCTGAATGCTATGTTAATTTGGTATACGTAAAGGTCTCTCTCAACGCTGCGAGTCGGCTTCACAATGGTATGTTCTCTTCGGTGATCCGAGGAACTGTTGGATTTTTCGACTCGACGCCAACTGGACGAATCCTCAATCGCTTTTCAAAAGATATGGATGAAAGTGAGCCTTTAACTTATACAGTTTTGGAAAAAAATCTTTTAGATGACCGCCATAGTGATATCAAAATGTTTTGAGAGCGATTGCGTTTCAGGTTGATTGCCTCACCTAGTGCAGCCCATCGCAGCTCGTATCTGGGTTAAATGGCTAAGGAAAAAGCCATTGGCTAGGGAAGAGCTGCTAGAATCTTTACGGTTTTCCTTATTCCCAATGAGAGGAGACAAAGAATTGTCTTTACCAGGTCATTTCAGTGGACTTTAGAATTTCTGAGGTCGCCTTGATACTTCATCTTTGCATTGGTCAAGAAACAATAAGTCGCTCGATTTGTATTCCTTTTCTAGTGCATGTCTGTCTCGCGCACTTTTGGCCTATGAATGCTACATCTATTTCACAAACATCTACAATTGGCACCCACCATCACATGCAAGATCGCATAAATGCGGTCACAAAATGATTGTGCGGTTTTGGTCCGTTCGGAAATTGACATCGGAACTGAATATCAATAATACTCTTCAACATCATCCCAGCAAACAATATTTAACACATTGCGTAGCGCGTGCGCCACCATGTGGCGCATGATTTCGCACTAAACAGCCCAATTTTATCTGATTTATTTGACATTTTTCAATGCTCTTGAACTGTTTGCAGTCATTTTCAGAGCTGGGAAACCCTACGCGTCATCACTGATAACATTGTTGATAGAGTAATGATGATACATTTTTGAAAAAATATAAAAAAATATACGAAGGTACTCATACTACGGCGGTCCGCAATGTGTTGACAACTCATATTCGGTATGACTGCTTGAACCTTTTTGGAACGGGTCATCCCATACTTCAAACACTCCTTTCAGCGGTCCATCTCGAACTGTGGAGCTTGTAGCTTTAGCTTTCACACGTTGACGACAGCGCGCAGCCCGTGCGCTTCGTACCCGAATAGTTTTTTCGCGCATGCGCTACTTCTTTTCAATTTTTTTTTGCATTTATTCTATTGATCACGTCACAACGTGACCATAAATGGTGTGGTTGACCGAATAGTTATCTTCTCTTAGCGAGTTCGGTAACTTCTTGAAGTTATTTTTCGTTCACTTTTCGCTTTATTTATTTATTTATTTATTTATTGCACAAATAAATACGCCACCAGAGGCAATAGTCAACAGAAAAACAAGCACTTGAACGAGGACCCGATCCTCAAAGAATGAAACAGAAAACATTAACCAGAAAGTAACGCAACATTCAACCGTGAGTTGAAGAAATAAGTCCAATACCGGTTATGTGTACAAGACAAGCAGATCGGAGCTAAAGAACTTGCGTCAAATGGTGCTGTAAGTCAACCTGCAGAAGAAACATTAAGTAAGAAACATTCCCCGTCGCCAGCATTTGTGAAAGACGTCCGTGGGCGATTTGAACACGTAGCAGCCATTTTGATTTTTCGAATTTTGCACCAAAACAAAAGCAATATTTCTGGTCTTTTCATTCTAATTTTCCGTGAAGGACTCCTTTAAGCCATACAACTATCAGGCGATCCTTTCTCAGAAGGCTGCAGATCTTGCAAGCTGCAGGACTGCAAGTAGTGTCAGATGGAGGCTCGGAGATTGAATTGTTGCTGCAGTAGCTTTGTGCTGAGCAAGAAGTAGACGCTCAAGGCCTTATCGCCCCCTGTCGTTCAATTTACAGAAATGGAGCATCCAGACTGGCGAAGCACTGGAAAGATCGAGACGATGAACGTGGTAGTAGCTGTGTATCCTGCATTGAAAGCAGCTGATATGGTAATCTGGAACTTGAGGAGGGAAATATGCCAACTTCTAGGAAGGGCTGGTCCCTGAGGAACATGACCCTTCCGCGGCGTAGGACGTGCCCATCCTCAGCAAGGCAACACCCGTAGTGACGGCAATCTCCGTGGCAGCTCCTTTCTCCAGGGTGGAGTCGGCCTATGATTAACACAGTGGCGACCAAGCGTTTTTGAGTGTTCCTGAAAATTGCGTCCTAATGCTGAAACGCTTCCATACGATGTACATACTAAATCAATGAGAACACAATGCGGAAACTGCTGAAACATCATTTGTCTCGTGCAAATGCTTAATGGCTGCAAATCAAGAATTTCCCCGTCTCGCAAAGGTGAATCTTCGGAGAGCCCTCGGAAAATTCCAATTTCCCACTGTAGAATCCACAAATGAGGTTAAACACAAATCTCTTCTTTACCAATCGTTGTATCATTGAGCTAGCTAATAGCATACAAAAGGCAGCTTTCCATTAGGTTGTCCCATAATTAGTGAATCACTTCGAATTTATTGCTATATCCATGAAATCTTGAAGGCGTGAAACATGTTTTGCCAAGTAGCGACCACAGTGTCCTACCTAAGCAATCAGTCGGCCCGTTCACACGTTTCCTTCCGAGGCTTAAACTTCAATTTTTCTGAAATCTTCCCCCAAACACGATATGAAATCACCATGTTCGCTCCTGCTTCCCAGAGTTCTTTGAGTGATCATCCTCCGTATCGCCAGTGTTGTGAAGTGGGTGGGGTGTGCTAGCAAATTCACAAGGAGCAGCAGAGTAGCTTGAAAGATTGGAAGTTCTGACAACAAAAGCCCAACCACCTCTGTTGGACCTGTATGTCTGGCACTTCTGGGATTTCAGTGGAGCACAGAAGAGATCTGGCGCTGGGAACCAGAGCCTAGTAATACTAGAGTCAGTGAGTAAGGCATACGTTGAAGCAAGACAAAGTCTGATTTTTTCCTGAGGTCGTTCGACCCCACCTTCCGGAAAATCATAAAAATTGCAGACCTTTGGGCTAGCAGTTCTTCCAGCTCTACCGTGAAGCCCTACTCTCGTATCAGCGAAAGATAACCTAAACTTACTTATACCATTATTCTTCAGGAAGAAATTTTACGCTAAGTGACATGACCTCAAACCTGACTTCCGACCTTCCTTTTATCAATAACTCCTGGAATTCCAGAGAAGAGACGGCGGCCAAATTCCCATGTATAGGCAATAGTTTGTGGATAACATACAGTAGTGGCCAGAAATTTATGAACAAACGGTTTTTTCATGATTTCTCTTTTGAAAGTCACTGGAGCGTCTCCAAATTCGCAACAATTATTAACTACGTGTTTTATGATCCACACAGAGAATTTCAACCTTGAGATCAATTTTGGGTTTAGAAAATTTTAGATTTTTCGAAATTACGAAGGCAGGTGAAAGATCACTTGATCGGTTTATATTATTTAAAAATGTATAACCCAACAGAGCAATCAAGTAAACAGTCACTAACATTAAGCATGTCTAGCACATTGCCCAGAAATCTCTGAAGTCTTGTATGCATAAACTGGGTTTAAGTTGGGGGTCATTTAATGAACTCGCCCTCTAGTGGGAGTCCCTCTCTGTAGGCGCTTGTTTTCGTGACTCTTTCATTGACATACGAATTTGTAGATCCTCTCCTAGTGGTTCTGTAATGTTTGGCTCAAGGGTCTGGCCTGGCTGGCCTTTTGAAGCACTCCTTGCTGTCGAAAACATTCCTGCATGTGAGTGGCACGATGCTTTGAGTCGCTGCTCTGCCGACAGGCAAAGTCAAGTCGGGCGGCAGCCACTCCTACGGACACACGACACCTTCCAGAACATGACAACAAACGTCTGCCTTCATCCCCACCGCAGTCGTGTAGCGTGGTCCCACTTTTTTCCAAGGCAACCTTATCAAGCCTCCGCCAAGTTTCACAATTCGCACGATTCTTTGGATCAGAACGTTCCCTCTCGTGGTGCCGTACATTACTAGTATCCTTGCTGTCATGCATCAGTAATATGTTTTTGTCATTCCAGATGACCATAGAAACTGTATCAGCCTTCGTTTCAGGCTTAGTCAATCACATTCTAATCCCAACCACTTCACAGCGAGCGCTCTTCTTAGACTTCAAGAACTAAGGAATACGTAGTATAAACTTAGATTATAGAAGGTGTTGCGTATCCGTAGTATGGCTGCCACACGTCCTGGCTTTGTCTGTCAGCAGAGCAGCGACTCAAAGCATCGTGCCACTCACATGCAGGAATGGTTTCGACAGCATGGAGTGCTTTTAATGGGCCAGCCTGGCCAGACTCCTGGGCCAAACATAACGGAACCACTAAGGGAGGAGCTACAAAGTTGCATGTCAGTGAAAGAGTCACGAAAATAAGCGCCTACAGAGAGAGACCCCACTAGAGAGTGAGTTCATTAGTTGACCCCGAATTCATATTTTATGTATCCAATACTTTAGAGAGTACTGGACAATGTGCTAGACTTGCTTAATGTTAGTGACCGTTCAGTTGACTGTTCTGTTGGGTTATACATTATTTAAATCAAATAAACGATTCAAGTGATCTTTCTCCTGCCTTCATTAGTTTCGAAAAATCTAAAATTTTCTAAACCCAAGTTTGAGCTGAAGGTTGAAACTTTCTGTGTGGATCATCAAACACGTAGTTAATAATTGTTGCAAATTTGGAGACGTTCCAGTGACTTTCAAAAGAGAAATCATGGAAAAACAGTTTGTTCATAAATTTCTGCCCACTACTGTAGGTGTGTGATTAGATGAACAAGCACTTCATATGAAAAAGAAAAAAATTGGAATTGAAAAATGCCCAAAATGATTCACTAATTTTGGGACAACCTAATACATCACGAAATAACAGCCTTATCACCGAAGAAGCAATTCCAAGCATCCTTCTCTAAAGCTCTCTTTGTGAAAGATGTTCAAGGTACGTGGCCATTTTGACAACGTATTCCAGGTTGATATAGCAACGCTCAAAATTTGGGGTATGCCTAAAGGAATAAAATTCGAGGGGTGTTGCCCGGCATCGGGCAACATTGTCGCCAATGTGTTAATTGATATGTGTTAATTGCCGGCAGCGGCGAGAGAGTAGACAGGTGTAAAGCAAGACTTTCACATTTATGATGTCATCTGTCGTAGAACCTCACTTAGCGCGAAAGTCAGCGAGAAGAAAAGAAGGTCTCACTTCACGAGAGCGTTTTCCTCTGTTCATCATTTCCTTCTCTATTCTGCAGCGTTTACCATTTCTCTCATCTATTGTACGGCGACCATTTCATCCTAACATCTGCTTTTGAGGTGCTTTAGAATGTGAGCAAGAATTGGCCAATGATATAATGAAACAACTGGTTTGAACTGGTGTTGTTGAATCAATTTTATAATGGTTCACTTTTTGAAGTACAGTTCTTATTGGTGATCTCTTATTTTCAGTTGACGTCAAGCTACCGTTCACAGCTGAGGTCTTCTTGCAAAACATGATCACATGCATAGGATTTCTGCTGGTCATTGCTTGGGTATTCCCAGCATTTCTCATAGCTTGTATCCCACTTTTGGCTATTTTCTTGCTTTTTGTGATGTGCTTCCGCGCTGGAATAAGAAGGTACATGTTCTAATCTTTTTGGAAAATTTTTGGGAAAGTCACTGCAATGTGAGTTTTCAGTCTGAAACGATCCGAAAATATTTCACGATCACCTCTCTTCGATCACATCACCACGACTATTGAGGGTCTAGCCTGCATTCATTCCTACGGTCAAACAGTGCGATTTCTTGAGACGCTCAAGCACCGTCTGGATGCAAACAGGTGTGTTTGAATTTGTTAGGGAGCTAATGGACACTAAAAAGTAATGGATGTATGACAGTTGAGCCTAGCACGACGTGATACTGTGGTCACTCTGATGTATGCCATCAAGCCTGGTTTCCTCTGTGCAGCCATACCAATACAAGCGGCGCAGCTCCGTGTACTTGCAGTGAGAAGCGCAAGTGTGGGATTTGCAACCAAGAACTTTTTGCAGAATGTGGAACTGTCCAAATAGCCTGTTGCGTTTGTATTGGCACATGCATGAAACCATGAAATGCGGTTCTTTTTCCTGCGATCTAAGTATACTGAGAAGTTTGAAGCATCGGTTTATTTTTCGACTCCACGTCATGACAAATACTTGCATTTGAATTTGACGCCTACGTGACGTGACCCGAACGGCAAAAGATCCAGCCCATTCATAGTCAATTCTTTACCATCAACCGGCATAAAAATTCCGAATTTTGTATCTCCAAAGGGTACTTATGCCCAAGGTAAATGTCGTGTTTGTGATCGTGCAATACAAGGGTATCCTAATAGCAGAAGTCTTTGAGGAATTAGAAGTTTTGATCAACTTAGGGAAATGGAGGCAACTGCTTTGGTTAGTTGACCGTCATGCATACTGACGGACTGCTTTGAGACTAGCTCGCTGATGAAAACAAGTGGAACATCTGGCTGATGGTTGCTCACACGAGAACAAATCTCTCCAGAAGCACATCTGACATCACATCGGGGTCCTTGCGACGAGCTCCACTTCGACAATAAAGAGAGTGGTGGTATTGCTTGAAAGCCTTCCCCTATGTGGTAAATCTTACTTTTCTCGGTGAATAATAGTGAATTCTGCTGCTTGATCCGCCGCATTATTGGTCGGATAATAAAGTTTGAAGTTATCCTCGAGAGCAGCACGCATGACCTTTTCGGAAATGGGGAGGTAAAGCAGTTTTTACGTGTAAATTTCAAATATTAATGGATACAGGGCGCTACCTTGTAGCAGTCCTCTTTACGCCGGCCTAGATTCGAGAATTACCGAAGTGAACCCTGTTCTTAAGGAAAGGCTTGACCCATGTCACAACTCTGGGATGAGTACCAAAATGTATAGTACCGTGCAGTGAAGTATTCGTTTTCACTTCTTTAATCGTGATTTCCTCAAAACTCAATTTTTCGCAGATTACATACACAGGTAGTAAATTATAGCAGTGTATCGGTGCAGTAGTCTCCTTTCAACGAGCAATGGAGCTTCATTTTCGAGTATTGTCCGCGGGCACCCAATTTCACACGAATATCATGCGTGATAAACGCTGAGCTTTCATGTAGAGAGCTCGTGTGTTGTTGCTGTTTTGTGTCAGTTTCATATGCCTACACATTATTCAGAGCATCCCAAGACATTCGGGAATTCTTAGCTTGTGGCAGGACCAGGTGACGCCACCTATCGGAGCTTCCACACAGGCTTAACATTCTAGTAGACTTTCGGAGTTCAAGGAGCGCCAGTGGACGACTTGCAAGAAATTCAAGAGCATCGCACCTACGAAAGTCAAAAAGTGCCCATAAGCAGGAAGAATGACCTCTCCTCTTGCCAACAAACATTGTGCGACTTGCAAGGAGTGGCTCACATCACGCTGCACCCGAAATTCACCGCGGATTTTCGACGCCAGACGGTCCAAATCCGTCCACAGACAATGTGCGACGTTGTCTGAGAGATGCTGGGCTCTTCTGACGTCGCTCAGTAAGAAACCGCTGATTCCCCACAAGAGTGACAAAGCGCATCTCAGTTGGGCTCATGCCTACAAGAAATGGGCTATTATGCAGTGACAACAAGCCATCTGGAGCAAAGAATCGAAGTTTTTGCTGTTTAGGACGAATGAATCAAGTTTCTGCGACCTCCTGTTGGTACCAGATATCCGAGGTTCCATGTGCTTCCGTGATTAATACAGGGGGGGGACGGTGATACTGCACGGCAGCTTTTTTGGCAAAGGGGTTGATCACCTTCATCGGACCGAGGGTAAAATGGATTCCAAAACGCACCTCAACATGTGGATGATTGCTATCTGGCCGCATGCTCGCAGTGTCGCCCGTAGTGTTTCATTTTCCGACCCGAAGCACAAAATCAAAGCCGTTCTCGAAATGGTTCCGGAACAACAATGTTCTTCTACTGCCGCGCCATCGCAATCCCCATACTTGAGTCCGAGCGAAAATCTACAGGATGATTTTCGGAGTCAAGTTGAAGGCCTTAAAGTTCATAACGAGCTCGAAAAGTTCCTACCGCTGGAGATCGCGTAGGGAAACCTCCGCCAGGAGAAAACCCGAGTCCCTGCTACGCCGGTGTCAAGCCGTCATAGATGAAAACGGTTGTGCGACAAAGTGCTGATATTGTAATTCTTCAGTCTTTCATTACACAAATTATTTTGTTATTATTACTGACGTTTAGATAGATCGAAGTTCGAACAAGTAATATGGTATTATACCGAAAAAAATTAAAAATCTCTAAATTGGTATACAAGTCACCTAGACAACTGAAAACTTGCTCCCTTATCACATATAGTGATATGTGCTCACCTTCAGAAAATCGGAACAAAAGCTTGAGTTTTGAGGGAGTTACGTTTAAAAAAGTGATAACGAATACTTCACTGCACGGTACCGTAAGTTGGGCTGTTTCGTCGAACTCATCCAAGACATTTGCAGAACCTAGGTACATCACGTCGGCCCACGCTCATTTTCGAGGCAAATTATCAAGTCATTGAGCGCAGCATTACGGTTACGGTTGAGTTACCTTCCTAGAAGCGATGTTGGTGTTGAGAAATGTCTTCGCATTTTCTCAGAAGAGTCATGATTTTTCCCTCCAAATTTTTCCCAGAAGCTAGCGAAGTGCCGCTTTTATGTCATGGATAAAACTTCATTCCTGACCACATTCGCGTCATATTCACTGCTTATTTCAGAAGAAAGTTTTAATTTGCACGTGCTCAGTTCTTCAAATCCTGCACTGTTCAGGATTGTAAACATTGCGGATTGCTAGTTTTCCGTTCTTTTCATTCAGGGCGCGGTTCAGGTGGGATGAAGCTCATTTCCAGGTTCATGTATCCTCATTATAAACAGTGAACCTTTTTGAAAGAGTGACCGCTCCTGCGGTACCTCTCAAGTAAGGGACTAACGGTAGGTAGCCTAGGGGTAAGTCAATTATCACTGGGAACATGCGCTACCACGGCTAGCTGCGAATTGGCGTTGTCAAAAGCGGTAATTATTTCAATAGCAGTTTGGCACTATTTATCCTTCACCGCACCAAGTTTCAACTTTACATGAACTGCATTTTTCTCGAAATTTGTCTTCAGGATTCGCTTTGATGTTGGGTGGTAGGGTTTCTGCAAACAAAGTGTGAGTGCTAGCGTAATTTCGATAAAAGTGCTTTCAGTGGTGCTGTCTTCATGTTTCAATCGGCTATGAGATGGTTAGCTGTATGGCTAGATCTCCTGGTGGTGATGATAACCTCCATTGTGGCATTTTTCATAGTCGTGCTCACGGGAACCATTTCCCCTGCCGATGCAGGCATGGCACTTGCGTTCGCTGTTCAGGTTTGTCATAGCTCTGCAAAAAACCTACTTATACTGTTCAAGGTGTCGTAAGTACTTAACTGCAGATGAGTGGAATCTTCCAATTCGCTGTACGTACACAGACTGAGCTAGAAGCAAAGATGACCTCAGTTGAGCGGGTGGCGTATTACTCTGAGGTGGCTTTTTTGTTTTTCTTTACGAGCTTTTCTTTATTCTATTACCACTGAAAGTCTTAAACCTCAGCTGAAAGAAATTTTTTGCAGAATATTCAATCAGAAGGAGACTGGGAGACTAGAAAAGGTGTAGACGTACCGAAGGAATGGCCCCAGAATGGACAAATCGATTTTCAGAGTGTGAAGTACGTTGACTACAATTCGTTCTCAAAGTTGTCAGCATTCCTCTCCGGTCAACAGATGCGTTGAAGGAACTTTCCAAATACGTCTCCCTCCACTCCCAGGGTCACTATCTGTGCTCACTGACGGCATATGAAGAGGCAAGTTGGTGTCGCGCTCAGTTGCACGCTTAGCGCAGTTCTGCGGCGATAGGAAACGGTGCGGTGAAAAATTCTGAAGTAGTCCGTGGCGCACATATTTGACTTGCCCTTTTAGGCTATATTTTATCTACATATCTGTGGACTATATTGTCGCTTTGGACTTTAGCTCTGCCCACCACGTAACATGCCCACCCATCGATGGTGATCCTTCCCCTTTTCTCATTTGCCCACCATTGTCAGCTTTTAACTGGTCTCAAACTGCCTCTGAACTGATTTATGAAATAGCATTTGAATTTCTCTTCCTCGCCAACCTCTGCCTACTCTTTTCTCGGTCTCTGAGAGTTCTTGGAAGCAAATGATGAAGTTTCGTGACAAAGTCCGCCCACGTTGGTACATGCCTCGCCCATCGACGGATTTTGATCTTGACTCCTTCGTCAAGTGCTGCTGATCTCCAGGACTTCTTGGAACCGTATTTTGAAGTTTTTTTTATTTGTTGGACACAGAAGTCACCGTCCACTTTGGTGCGAGCCCCGCTCAACAACGGTAGTTGACCTGCTCCACCTCACCAACCGTTATCCTCATTTCCCGATATCTGGACTGTTTCTGAACCGAATTATAAATTTTCGTGGCAAACTTTACCACTTTGGAACGTATTACCTCCCCTCCTTTCCTGACCCCTACAGTGCGTGTCATAAATATAGAGGTACCCCTAAAATTACCATAGCCAGACTTCACAGAAGTTCTTGGCAAACATGCTTATCACTATCTGAATCAGCATGCTCGAAAACCTATGTTTTGAAGCTTCCATATGAATTGGAAGGAATTCGGCTTTTTTCAAAAGGTTTTTTTTTGGCTGTACCGAAAGTATAGACACACCTGGGAAACTCAATTCATTTGTTAAGAAGGCAAACATATAACAACTTCTCAATAATTAATTGTTCCTCCATGTGTAAAAGTGATTTCAAAAACTCGACTTGGCATTGATTCAACTAATCTGTAAAACAATGCACATCCAAACAATCCCATGCTTGACCAATTGCCATCTGAGATTTCTCACTCTATCAGAAGTAGCTCCCTGGTGGTAAACATTTTTGACGAAGATGTCCCGATGCTCTCTATGAATAGGTATCAGGATAGTCCATGGCGACTATATTTCGCTCCTCTAACTATGATCTTGTGGACCTGCTGGCCTGGGTCGCCACGTTGTCTTGTTGGAAAGCGAATTCTCCTACTTCGGCACGTGCCATAAAAAGTAGTGGATGACGACGTTGCACGCCCTGCTAGTTTGACGAGTTCATATGAGTGGAGGTGAAGGCGATCTCAAGCTTGCAGTTCCGTTGGAATCCTACCAAACTATCACGCTACCCCTACCGAAATCACGTCTAGTAGGGCACTTCAGCTCCTTGCGGAGATCTCCTAAGTAGAACGCATTTCCAACTGAGCCATCAAAACTGAAGTCGGAACCTGACGAGAAATACTTCAGTTAGAAATGACCTTAACAGGAAAAATTCAACTCACAGAGCTTTGGGAGGGAACGCGTATCTTTGACCAACTTGTTGCCATGTTCTTCCTGGTAAACTGTGGCCGGGCCTCCTTGTAGGTGTCGGTAAGTGGAAGAGCTAGGCGGAGGCGACCTAACTATGTTGTCGTTGCACTTGATTGTCCTCCTGTACCTACTCGGCTTCTAACGAATGTGAAACTCGTGGCTTTTTTCCATATTGTGCAGAGAATTCATTCCTTATCACTGGTTTCCCGGAACGGCAAGTTGACCATGTATCCCCTCTTATTTTGACCGAGTTAATGGAGTGCGTCTATACTTTTGATACATGCCAAATAATGTTCACTTGTTGTAAAAAGGCCGAATTCCTTCCAATTCACGTGGAAGCGTAAACGCAGGTTTTCGTGTATGCTGATTCAGATAATGATAAGCCTGTTTGTCGGGAACTTCTATGAATACTTTCAGGGGTGCATCTATACTTATGATACGCACTGTATTCACCTTTTTCCCTTCGAAACCAGAATGTGGTAACTTGTAGAATGCTATTCACACCAGCACGCACTCCTACTCGTTCATGTCATTTCCGCTGGGAACACCTCAGAGGATCACGCTCTCTTGCACCCTTTTTCTTCCCTATGGACTTCCTCCAAGCCAAGTTAGGAATTTATTTAAGTGGCCAGCTCCTTTGAAGAACGCCTCAACCTACCTGTGATGAGCCTTCCTAACGACCTTGCTAAAAATCGCACACCTTTACTCATTTTCAGTCGATTAGTGGCTGCTTTGGGATCAATTTCAAATTTTCGATGTTAATACCGCTCATCTCGATGCATGCTACGCCCTCTATGGGTGAGACTCCGCTTAGTTGATGTGTGCTTTCTACAGGGTGTCCCAAAATTACTTGCGCTGAGCTGACAGGTTTTCTTGTGAACTATGTCGTTGCTGGAATAAAATTGTCAGTATCTCTGAGGTCATTAACGCGTTGACGACAAAGCGCGTTTTGGGTTTTTGCGCCGCGTGGGACCAGAGCGATTTCGTAGGCGCCTCCACCTCACATGCAATCCTTGATTTTTGAACTTTAGTAATGCAAAACGTGATCGTAACGTAATGCTTTCAATGATTTTTCATATGCCAAACCTATCTGAAGGTACAGTTGTGAAAATTTGATCAAGATGCGTGTGATGGCAAAGAAAAGGCAAGTTTCGGCTGTTTTTGCTCGAGTGAACCTCAAACATATTTCTGACGCGATTGCTCCACTGGAAACATATATCCTACCATACGTATGGATTTAGTTTCCTATATACTTTCTTCTTCTGCTCCTTTTTATATTTATTTTCAACAGAATAGAAAGAAAATGAGGAATGAATCCAACTGAAGAACTTGTAGAATCTGGAAAAACTTTGGTAAAGTTAAGAATATTCAATCTTTCGGTCCATCACTCCGTTTATGGTCACGCTATGATGTGTTCTAAAATATACTTACAAAAAATCAGAAAAGAAATAGGGCATGCGCGAAAAAAAATAAGCATTTCGGGTACGAAGCGCATGCGCTGCACAAGGTCCCACACGGTGCTCAAGGTGTGTGCAGCGCATGCGCAGCACAGTGTCGTCAACGTGTTAACCGATGTAGGTAAAAAATCACTTATTAACATGCCTGGACGAGAAAAGAAGACCAACATTCTTACGGGCAGAATGGTTATAATGGATAGTTAACAGTCCACGCTGCTTTCTCAAGAGGATAACAAGAGAGCTGGATGTACTGAAGTCATCGATGGCGCGTTGTCAAGGAAAAGCCGCACTGCCGATCCTGTCATATGCGGAAGTACCGTTTCAGTTCGAACAGCAACAAGCAGCAGAGAGCCCAAAAAGTTGAAAGATGCTAACCCGCTCCATTGACATCACGCATTTAACGAGAAAAAGTTCGCTGTGAAGCCGGTATTGAGTCCCCAAAACGATCCTCACGAAGAAATCTTGTTGGAAGGATGGCTAAATGGGGATCAGTAATGGTTCAGGAGTAAGTAGCGGCTCATGTGAGACGTTGGGTTTTCATCGATTCAGACGTATTAGAACCTTGGTCCAAATCCCACTTTGGAAGCAAGCTGCGGTGCTCCCAGCAGAAGAGTGCACCAATCCACGGGTTGAGCTATTTCGAGACAGGAGCGAGCTGTGTGCTGCCCGGCTTTGTCGCCGCGGGGATTGGCCTTCTTGCTAGCCCAATCTTAATCACTTAAAATTCCAGTCTGGTCCGAGTTTAAGAGAACCTTTGTCGAGCTCTTCATACGAATCTGCAAGAATCGCAAAGAACGTCAAGGAAAGCCTGGGACGAATCGGATAAGGAGTGCTTGCGTACAACGTGCGAAGGATATAGGATGGGGCTAGAGACCTATACTGCGGTGCACAATAGACATCATAGAAAACTTAACTTTCGAGAGAGTTTGGAACTTTTATTGCTTCCGCCTACACTATACTTTAGGAATGGACAAAAGAGTAATATCTGTGGTATTTATTTAACATGAAAACTTCTTCAAAGTTTGTGAAAACAATTTTTCACTTTTTGAGCCGGTGCATAATAGATTGGACGATATGTATTGTTAATCAAAAAACAACAGTAAAGTCTACCCCGTCTAACAATGAGTGTAACGTCCGTTCTTCTCAGTAACTGTGGAACTGGAATTAGATTGTGAATCAGCGCACTTTAAGCAGCAGAGGCGGTAGATTTTTCCACTCTGTAATGGCATTTCTCAGCGACTGAAATTCGCCGTGCGCTTTCCCATTTGCGTAGATCTTGTGCGTTTATATACCTTATGTATTCCCGATAGGGTCCGTATTAGGGTTACATGCCGGCCATGAAAGAAGGGTTACATGCCAGCCATGAAAGTAGTGGGTTGTAATTAGATTGCAAGTGGGACAGTGTACTTCACGAAGTGTGGTTCGATGAGTTCTTTTGCATGGAGACGAAGTGCTTGTTAAGGTTTTATGAAACGAATGGTAGCAACGTGTTGTTGAGTAGTGACTGATAGCGCTGGCTTCTCATTCGCAAAAATCGAAATGAATTTCAAGGCTGCCATCACTTGAGAATGCCCACTAAACCATTGAGGAGAAGCCGCCGATGTTGCTTCGACACACCAGCAGTGATTCACTTTTGCAAAAGCGCTACTTCGAGTGTCGTTAACACCACCCATCTATGTTAAACAAAATGTGTAGAAATCGCCTGGGGAAGAATTAAGATGAGAAATTCAAATTTTGCGTAAAGCTGGAAATGTGACCAGAACACCCTCTGCTCCTGTTAATATCGCTCCTCGCAAAAGGGCAGCTTTTGACGATGATATTGAGTTAGGCGTAGTGTTGGCTTTATTTATTGTCGAACTATGTGCTTCGATATTTTCAAAATGCGAGTCACGGCCCAATTCGAACTCGCAATTGGCAGTCAATTCATAGCCATCTTTGCGGAACTCGATGCCAAATTAATTAATCAAACGACGCTTGCCGCGCTCAGAAAGTGTTGGTATCCGTGCCACCTATATCTTCTGAACACTTTGGGAACAATTCATGATCATAGTTGCAACTGTGTTCCTAGGAATATTGTGTTCCTTAGGGATTTGGAGATGACCCTTGCCAAGGACGTAACGTTTCAGCTCGAATCCACTCTTCGTTTGTGAGTCGCGTATACTTCGCATAATATGAGAGTACATGCAATTTTTAGAAGCAGGAAAGAAACTGTGGGAAAAATCAAATATCTCAAGTCGTCCAATCTATTGTGCACCGCCAAAAAATCAATATTTCAGTCCAAAGAGTTTCAAAGGCACTGTATTTGAGTGGTTATTGCGCCAGTATTATTTATCTAACTTCTAAGAAATTTTATCAATAGCAGCAACAATAAAATTCAACTTCTTTCAAAAACTGAATTTTCAATTGGGTGCAATCTATTGTGCACCGCAGTGTATATTCAGGTGTATGTGGAAGAAGTTTTGAAATCGGGTTGTTGCATGTCGTTGTATATAATGCTATAGTAATCATCTTATGATTCAATTATCATTCTGTGATCAGAACTTCAAAAGGTGTGGCAATTAATAGGCGCAAGTAATTTTTGGACGTCCTGTACTTCTCGAGAAATGACCCATCCGTCCCACATATGATCCTTTTTCTCGTTCGGTTCAGAAATCCTTCTCGTTTCTTTATTCCTTTCTTGATTTTTTCTTCTTTCATGTGTTACTGACCATAACTAATTCCAATGGGCTGCCTTCTCATCTTAAAGACAAGAGTCAGGAAAAAATATGTGGGCAGATGCGTTTGAATACGACGTTTGAGGTAGACAGTGATCTGAAAACAAAAAAGAAACTAGACGAAAGCTCGGCAACATCCCGACCTCCGTTTAAGCCCTATTTCAACTTGAAATGTAGAGGGATTGGGTTTGGACGAGTTCTTACGGACGGATGGCCAAACTTGCTCCAGTGCAAATTGTTGGCTCTAGGCCAGAATCGATAGATGTGGAAATCGGCGCAATCGAGCAGTTTCTGCGGGATCCCTCCTCTTTCTCGCGATTTTTTCAAAATTTTTTCATTGTATTATGTTTCTTGTTTATACATATGTTTGACAATGTTGTTATTGTTTATAACTAGTGAAATGTAGGCTTCCGGTGCAGATTGTTCGGCATAAGTCCAACGACGCTTCACACCACAAACGGGCTGCGCGACATTTAGTTGCAATCTAACACTGCCGCTTTGGCGGCCGCACTCTACTTGCAGCACCAACGTATCTCGGCCGCGCGGGGTGGGGCTTGCGGAATAGGGTGTGGATTGCGAGTAGAGCGAGCTTCCTGCACGTTTGTCGCGCACTTTCAAGCCGCAAAGTAGGCACCACATTAACCCTCGTTCGCCTGTCTACCGATTGCAGGGATTCAACAGGTGAGCTTGACTAATCCTGAATCGTGCCTTTAAAATCCGCCTTTAGCAAGTATAATGATGACAGACAGAAGCTTGCGGGAGACTGGCGATGCAATCGACTACTTGTCCCGTGAAGAGGTATAGGCATGACAGTTGCGAAGTCGTGGAATTTTACATGGTCAACGTTTGAAATGAACATCGGTCTGACTGAGACAAATGCATAAAATCTACTGTCAGATCCTGTGGGTTTTTAGAACTGTATACGGCGTGCCCTTCTTACAGCAGTTCGTGGAACCCCTGTGAACAGCTCTTTCTGCTAACATCGTGGATCTCTCTCAAGCTTGTATTTTCTTACGCGGAACTGGAACGCGAATTCGACGGCCGTTGACATCCAGCAACAACCAGCGCGAGTGGCGGTTCCAACTATTTCCGCTCAGTCTGCCACTTCCAGTTCATCGCTCTTACTCCTCTCCTTCCTCCTAACGGACCAAAGGCCTTCCGTTGAGGATTGCAACACACACTTGACCCTGCTCTTCCCACAGTGTATCTTACGTTGAGATGGAGCTAGCAAGGGAGGTCGTCCAGGGTGTGTCAAGCTATCAAAGAAGGGGGTCCCTGGTTCGATACCTCGTGGTGACAAATTTTTGCATTTCGAGTTGGCGTTTCAATTCGCGCAAAATGGAGTTAGCACGTGCAATGAATTCCATATCCATAATTAGGACCGTCAGTAATCCTTATAAAAAGACTTTGATTAAAAAACTGGTGGAAAAGGTGTGACACCAAAACGGCCCCTGTGTGATGTCACAACTTTTTTTTCACAAGTTTTTTAATCCAAGTCTTTTTGTAAGAGTTACAGGCACTCCTTATTGTGATTATTTAATTCATTGATCATGCTAACTCCATTTTGCGCGAATTTTGAAACGTCAACTCGAAGTGCAAAAATTTGCCACTACGGGGAACTAGGGACTTCCTTCTTTGGTATTCAGAGGGCCGTACAGGAAAAACGGACAATGGTTCTGTGGTTCCCATATGTGCCCCAATGTCATGCAAGAAACCATTTTGAAAAAGCTTGGCACACCCTGGACAACCTGCCTTGTAAGTTGTATCGTTGTGAAAATACATTTCTGTTTAGCTTAGGATGCTCTTGCCTCAAAGTTGCCTGTCCATCCTCAGATTCAGCAAGCCTCGACGAACCCTCTGTATCGCAAGCCCCTAAGAATGCGTTTTTCTTCATTTAGGATTAGGCAAATATAAATATACGAAATACGCATAATCACAGTTGTGAGATTGTTTATATTTTTCGTGCATTGAGATTCAATTTCTAGGCTCCGCTATCGACCGAAATTTCCATTGGCTCTCAATGACGTCACATTCGAAATTAAGCCTAAAGAAAAGGTTGGGGTAATTGGAAGAACTGGTTCAGGTGAATAATTGATAAGATACGAAAGAGTCTGCTGAGCTCAAATTTGATCTTTTGATTATTTCAGGAAAGTCGTCAATAGGAAACGTATTATATCGATTGTACCCGTTGACATGGGGTAGGATATTCATTGACGGTGTCGATATTGCTACCATTGGACTGCATCGCCTCAGAAAGTAAGTTTGAATAGTTTTTTTTTCAGATCAATGTTCTTTTCATTTTTACCCTATTAATTTGTAGAAGTCTTCATCTGATCTATACCTGACTGTCATTCGCTGTAGCAGATTAATTTTAAGTGACCTAATTCTAGAATTTATCTAGAAAGACTAGTATCATTCAATACGGATACCGATCCGCAAAGATCGGAGTAGAATGCTTCGTAGAATTAATAAGAAGGCTAGGATATTTGAACAAACAGGGTAGGCGGAGTAGAAGTGTAATGGTTTTATAGGTGAAGGCACTTGATGTTGAGGATATATTCCGTTTTAAAGTGGCCGACTTCTGTTCCAGAGCTATGTCGGTCATCCCTCAGGATCCTGTACTGTTTGCTGGAACTATTCGATCCAATCTTGATCCTAATAACATATTCACCGATTCTGAAATATGGACAGCTCTAGAAAGAACATATCTAAAACCAACGGTAAGTATCTCACCTTCTCTTTATGTGTGCAGATCGAGGAAGAGCTTTTTTCAGATCACTAATTTCGAAAAGAAGTTGGAAGCAGAAGTAGCCAGTGGTGGAGAAAATTTCTCTGTGGGTGAACGACAACTATTATGTCTTGCTAGAGCTCTTTTGACGTGAGCTGTTTCAAGATTCGAATTTTTTCTACATTGCAATATTAACCGATCGGTGGCTCCCACAAGGAGGTCGTTGGTCGCGCCGACAAGAGTGTGGTGACGAAACCAGGGTGTATTCTCGCCTAGCGCTTATTGGAACGCTAAGGAGCACAAATAATCCACCACCAAATTTCCCAAGAGTTTTTATCTGAAAATTTTGTTGAAAAGGGCTCTGGAGAGAGATTGTAATGCATATACAGGGTGGCTACCAAATATTGGCGCATGGTTTACTGATTATATTTCCAAAAAGAGAAGCTATCATATCTTCTGAAGTTTATTTTCATATACAATAAAACATGAGAAGTTATTACCAAAAAAAAAGTGCTCGAGATGGCCTCCTTTGGTAGCGACACAGGCTCGAAGTCTCTTTTCGACTGACATCACCGTGGGCCGCAAGTAGCCGACGTCGGCGTGGTGTGAGTAGATCTCCAGACCAGAAGTGGCTCACGATTTGCAAAACGACAGGCAATTGTTGGATCTGGCTAGCAGACATTCTGCTCGACCTTGTGTACACACAAGGAACCGTTTTTTAAATTTGTCATCATGATTTGGGCAGGAATTACTTCCGAAGCCATACACCGCTCGTCTTTGTGTATGAATACATCAAAGCCAGCGCCCAGATCTACCCGGAAACAATTGTCGCGTAGTGCCCTTCTTCCAAGGACTCTTTTGATCTTCAGCGAACGTCACTGCATTCTTCAGCAAGACAGGGTGCCTCCACATGCCGCAAAATCAATCTTGGAGTACTGTGACCGTCATTTTCGTCACCGGGCACAAAATGTTTGGCCATGTAACTGGCCCGATTTCAACCCAATGGATTTTGCAGTTGAGGGCTTCTTGCAGTAGAAGATGTCTTTTGAGCAACGTCGAAGTTTGGAACCTGAAGGCTTCTTTGGAGGAGGCGTGGAAGGAGCTTGACGTTAGCTACTTGCGGCCCACAGTGATGTCAGTTGACAAGAGACCAAGCCTGTATCGCTAGCAAAGGAGGCCATCTCAAGCACTTTCTTCAGCATTGTAATGCCATGTTATAAGGTATATGAAGATAAACCTCTCAAGATGTAAAAGCTTCTTGTTTTAAAAATATGGTCAACAATCCATGCGCCAATATTTAGTAGCCACCCTGTAGTCACAGTTCTGAATATCCAATATTTTCATTTTTTTTTGGGAATAATCTATCACGCTGCCTATTCTGCAACACCATACTTCCATCACATGTTTCTCCGCTGCATTGTATTTTCACCGAATCAAATTTTCAAATTATTATCCCTTTACGTTTTCCATCAGACTTCCATAAAGGGAATTCTAGCAAAAGAGGCGCAGAGCTTGCCGGTGTGTCGGTTCACGCTGGATTGGTCGGGTTCATTTTTAATGAACAACTTCCTTGAGGATCCTGTGATACTGTTAAGAACCTGATTTATTGCTAGCCGACCGAGATAAGCGCTATATCCAAGAAAACGATACAATTTCATCAAACCGGGTACAGAGAACAAAGGTTCTTCAAAACCTGATGTCTCAATGGGAATTCATATCTGGAACACAGGTAAGACGCCTTCTGTAAAAGGGGATCATAGGGAAAAACGAGGCATTGTCAGAAGGAGTCGACAAGTCGAGGAATGTGAGAACACTTTTTTATCTGTGGTATTTTGTAGTCTCTGACCATGCTCCCTGTCTTTTTCTTGTCCATGCGTGTTCGCTACAGAGTAAGAAACCGATCTGAGAAAGAAAATCATTATGAGAAAGAAAGACACAAATCAAAAATGACAAATGAAAGAGTGTCAGAACTTTGCCTCGAACTCTATGATTTCTTTTCAAAAAAGTGTTTTACTTTTTCCCACATGGATTTCCAAACATTTTCTGAAAGTGGTGAAGCTGCGCTCGTTCAGAAATAATTTTTGAAGAAGTTGATTTCCATACCCGGCTTGATAAAGTTGTGTTATTTTACGGGTACGGGAGGTGGGGGGGGGGAGCGCTTATCTCGGTCGGGTACTGATCAAGGTTCCTCACAGTATTATATCCCTTAGAATCGAGGAAATCGTTCGTTATGATGTGACCCCGACCAAAATCCTGCATGAACCGACACTTCGATGAATCCAGTGCCTCTTTTGTCGGGATTTTCCCTTTACGGAAATCTTATCTGTTTTGCACTTGCCATAGCATAGGGAACCTGAAGGGATGATAATTCCAGAGTCTGATCCGGTAAAAATAAAATTTAGCAGCGAAACATGTGGTGCAGCTTGTTTGGCTTCTCAAAAATAGTTTTTTGTTGATATCCGGAGCTGTGTTCATGTGTCGCAATTCATCTCCAGAGCCTTTTCCGAAAACATCTTCGGATGCAATCTTTTGGAAAATTTGGAGGTGAATTATTATTGAGTTCTTTTTGTCCTTTTGACTTATTGCATTGACATCTCACACCTCAACTGCATCATATTCTATCGAATGATTTCTCTCTGTTCTCCGTAATCGAATGCTTTAACCCGATTCTTTCACTGACTCGCCTAATACGTAGCCGCCCTAAGGCGCACATCTTTCCACGTCCCGCCTTTGGCGCCGCGCGACCTACTTTTGAGTGTCCATAGAGTCTGGCCTTTGAGTTTGGTGCTCTTTGGAAACCGAATCTTCGTGCGTGAAACTTTGTGTGGTGTCTCTAGTGATCACAATGTACAAATGCCTGTTGAGAAGGAGTGCAAGAATTTTCCGGAAACAATTCTCGGAAAACCCTTTAACTCTGGCGACAGTGGCACCCACCGGTGGGTGCCACTCTGATCATCGCGTGGGTTAATGGCAATTAGTGATGGGTGCTACCTAAACATTCTTTTCTTTCGCATATAATACATTTTCAACACCTTAGAAATTATAAGTTCCATAAAATCAATGTTCGGGACGAGTCTCAGGAATGTTTAATTGGAGCTAATTTAAGTAAAAATTTCAGAGTGTATATCTAGCTAGCCAGGATAAACTGGCTATTAGGCTTTTTGTCTTTTCATAGTGTTCAGGCACATTGACGGGTTTCTGTACACATGAACTGCAAAAGTTTTCACCTTCCTTCACTCTGAAATCCGAGCGGCTCTTCCAAACTTCCCATTCTCCTTCCAACATACACAATATGAAAGCATGTATCTATCTGTATCAGTAGTTATATTCAATATACTGTCAAGTCGAGGATTCGAGAAAAAAAAACCTCTTTTTAAGACCCATTTTACCCAATGTGCGAGAGAGGGCGTGCCAAGAAGAGGCGCGGTCCTCCGCAGCGGCTAGGTGTAAATTCGCAAGGATTAAAGGGCTTTTTTTGTCGTCAAAGGGTTAAAAACTCAAAGCCTGATTCTGAAATCCAACAGTGCGGCCCTCCAAGCAAAAATATGTTTTATTGGATATCTTTGCGGAAAGGAAAAAGTTGCCGCAAAAATATCCACTAAAACATGACATGTCAAAACCTGAAATACCTTGCGGACAACCTGATACTTCCTGATCATTCTGTCTGCAAAAACGAGTGATCTCTTATGTGACGGGAAGGAGGCTCTACATCTGTGAATTGCAAGAGCAATCTTTCCTTTATGCACGTATTTCTTTTTCAAGGCTCTCGCTTTAGGTGCGTAAATCGTATGTGTATGTTATTTCAGAGATTATATATAGACCAGTTTTGCTCCGCTCTTTATCGCGCGCATCACACGGCAGGTTTTAGCGAAACTGGAGGGGCCAGGAATATCAGCATGTGGTACTCCATTATCCACCTCACTACTGAATGGGTTAGACTCTTACCAGCTTCGATGAAGTCCATCGAGAATACGCGTGATAACGTCTGAAGCTGAACTGGCATATTTATCTCACAACTGTAAACATCGACCATTCTTCTTGAATTCAGATAATTTAGCGGTGAATAGGATTGCTGTCAGTCTCCAAATGAAAATGAGATATGCCTGTTTACATAAATGAGGAGCTAACGCTTATTACTTATTTACATTCACCATTATTTAGAACACCGAAAGGATTAGCGGTTCAATGAGTTTGGGCTTCTTTGATATTGCATTAGAAAAAACTTATCATTTGCTGAAGACTTGATTGAGTTTATGCAATTGATTGCTTTTCGGTGGTAGGTGCACAATGATACAATGTGCACCTACCACTGCAAATAGAATTTGTAAGTAGGATCGCTCTAGTATCAGCGTAAGCTACGCAAGCTGCGGTCTGACGCGCCTTATCAGCCTTCATCAGTTGTAAGCACTATCCATCACCTAGCAACAATGTTCCCGTCCCACCCCTTATAACACTTGTAAGTATGATTGCTATGGTGTCGACGACTTTTGCGTTCTAACGCATCTTATCAGCCCTTATCAATTGCTATCGCTTTCATTCATGTACCACCAATGTCCCGGAACAACCCCACACAACACTTGTAAGTATAGACACTCTAGTACCAATATGAACGACAAAACCAAATTGGCAATGCTCACTTCCTAGCCCCTCTTATCAGCTATTATCAGTCGTTATCAGCTTCAATCACATACCACTTGTGTACCCACCCCACCCCCTTTAACATATGTAGGAACCATGGCGCTATCATTGCTGTGACGCGAGCTACGAATTTCGTGACAAAGAAACGCAAACACAGGCATACTTAGCGAATTATATATAGTAGGATAGTTGTACCTGACTTTGTTGATTTAGAAAAGCTAAAATTGTTATGCTGGACGAAGCGACAGCAAGTCTAGATATGTCGACGGATAAGCTCATACAAAAGGTCAGGTTGGCGTTACTCAGTCGTGTTGTTATTTGTTTCACTCGACAATCGCTATTTCAGGCAATTAGGGAAGTGTTTGTGGATGCTACAGTAATTCTTATTGCTCATCGTCTAGAGAATGTTTATGGTTTGGATAGGGTTTTGATGATGGATGGTGGAAAGGTAGCATCTTCAGGATTCCACTTTTCTTTTGCTACTTCCACTACGTCCATTTTAAATTACAGGTTGTTGAATTCGACCGTCCTGAAGTGCTGTTAAGCAAAACTGCATCGGAGCTGCAGATTCTGGCAAGGGAGGCGGGCCGTGATGAAATTCTCGTAGAGTCTGAAGGTGCTGGTAGTGAGAGCTCGCCAGAAATTATGGACAAACCTGTCACCGGTGACAGTGAAAGTACGCCGGAAATCATCAACAAAGACGTATCTCCGGACTCGGTTAGTATACCGGAAATGGTGGAGAAGCAAGAAAGTGAAGGCGAAGAGGACGACAGTGTCGAAATTTTGGATCGACCAGAGGTGAATCAATCAAGTGTCGACGACGACGATCTAGAAATGTTGAATGTGCCGCCGAAAACATGACCGGTGTATGGATGTACATAGAATGAGTGGCTAGTGGATTTCTTCTACGTATTTTTGCCGTTACTGTTGTTGCCGCTAATGCTGCTGGTGTTGCTTCATGTAAAATTCGGAAAAATAGCCGCCGATTATGTAACATTACCCTGCTATAGTTGAGGCTTTTTTTGTGGACTCCCTCTCTCAGGGCGAGTGCGTTTTGTAGTGCATCTTCGTGTATGTGAGTGTTGTTTTTGTCAGGGATGAGAGGAGTTTCGATTTCTGACCTTTAAAGGCAATTCGAACTATGGCGTTGGCTGGGACCCCTTAAGTGTAAGTCCAGTTGATCATTTCGCTGTGGTCCCAGAAACGTTCCACGTTTCGACTTCCAGTTTCGTTGGCCTCTTGTGCACTATTTCCACAATTATCGCTTCTTGCTCCTGCTCGTCCCTGGTATGTTTTTGCTAATGCCGAAATTCGTTTTGTTCTAATCTTTTTTTAGCTCCTAATTTGGTTCAAAATTTTACCGCTTAACATTTACTTTGTGAAAACTACATTCCGTTTACCATAAGTTAGTTAGGTGTAAGTAATTTTGCGCGCTATACTTTACTGCTTCTCAGAAGCGAAGAGGTTTAGAATAAATTCTACAAAATTGAATCTAGGCGTGTGTCTATAAACAGGTATTAAAAATTATGCCTCCTAGATGAACCAAAATTGCAAAATTGACCATGCCCACGAAAGCCTAACCCATCAACACCCTAAGCCCGTGCACTATATCCCCAGTGATTAGTTGTGCAAGAGAATATTAGAGCTCATTTTATATTTCTGTTTCATGACCGAATTTCTGTCTCACTTTCTATCCCTCTGTTTTGGTTTTCTCGTTTTTTTCTTTTCTATTCTGTTTCCTGTCCTACTTAGTTGAAAATGGATATGTAGGTACGAGTGTTCTATTGCGAGTTCTATTCTTGAGAATATGTATCATCGCGGATTTTATATACTCCGTATTTTGTTATGCTGACAAGGAATTTTCCGGCATTCAGGATCTGTACATATATACACTGAAATAAATTTCGGCGTCATGACTTTTTATGCATATTCGCTAAATACTTTCTTCTGTTGTCGGAACGTTGGCTATTTGAAAGTTGAAATGATAACTGTATGAATATTATGAAAGTCGACTACATTGTCCCTTTGGCCCAACGGCACCTACCGGTGGGTGGCACTCTTTCTGCCGCTTGGCACAATGACACCCAATCATTGGTGTCACCTTAAAATAATCTTGATTGGGCATTTAAAATATTTGTAACATCCCAGAAAACAAGTGGTTTTCAGAATATCTATTTTTGGCATGGTTTACAGAATTATTCAATAAGAGCCACTTTAGATAAAAATTTTGAATGCGGATTTGCTCACTGTCACATTAAATGGGGTTTCTCATTATAAGGCTGAAGATAAACCACAGATCAGGACTTCCTCGTATTTTCATATTCTTCAGGCACGTGGAGTGGTTTGAACCTTATGAAAAATTCTGTTGTACCCATAAACAGGATTTTGCCCTCCATCCCTTTGGAATGCGAATTCACTTTCCAAACTTCTGATTCTCTTTCTAAAAATGTGATATGAAAGCTCAAAACTGCAGTTATATCAGATACATCATAAAGGTCAAAATTTTGACCGAAGAACTGCTTCAAGGAGCAATTTCGCCCAACGTAGGGCTCGGACAGGACGCGCCGTGGTTTCGCGTGCCCGTTGCGCGCAAATCGGCATTGTCGTCAAGGGTTAAAGGCAGCGATTACGATAAATTTAAGAAGAGGTTAGTGTGACGTGGTGGTGATCATTGGTACGCCATTAGCGAAAAAAGCAGAAAAATCCGTCAAGAACACGCAGAACGGGACCCCATTTTTTGGCCGTTGATTTTCTCTTATTGACACGCAACAGCTAAGAAAATGGACGTATGAACGAGTTCAGCACAATGCATTCGATGGCACAAGGGTCAAGCGAACAAACGAGGAAAATTTGGTGATACGACCACCACTCCACCTCCCCCAGAAGCAGAAAAGTCAATGAAAGAACCCTCCTCACAATCCGAACTATAAAAAGGTTGTTTAATCCCCCCAAACTGTTCATAAAAAAGCCCTGCTACCCCGGGGCTTCGCCAAAAAATTCGCTCAAGAAGTACAAAAGCAAAAAAGTCAAAGAATGGTTATTGTTGAGTCCTGCAAAAGGAGTAAACGGAGCAAAAAACGACTAGTCACAAAAAATTGGCATACTATGACAACATCTCTTCTTTATTTATTTCCTTCGGAAGACTTACCAAATTTTAGTATTACACAGAGTACGGTTCTTAATTTACACGTCCATATTCGGTTGGAAGAAGCCTCGTTACCGCCTTAGCCAGTTGTGTGTTAAGTGATCTTTTGCGTTGGCCTTGGAGCATCTTATCTACTATCGAAATTTGAACACATATTCATATGATTATAACTTTCTTCAAACATGACGAATTTTCGAGCTGAAAGCAGGTATGGAAGTTTTGTGAAGAGCTCTTTCTAATCAGTATCGAAATCACAAAAATTCATGCGAAGTAGCAAATTTAGACCAATTAACGAGGAAAATTCATGAAGTCCGCGAAATTTTACAACTTCCGAAGCCATAACTTGCTTCATTTTCGTCAAATCTGAAAAGTTAATACGGCAGACAAAACAGAAGATCTTCTCTATCAAACGGTTACTGAAGCAGCTTTATACGTCCAGTATTTGAAAAATGGCCACATCGAGGATTTTTTCAAAATTAACGAGGACAATTCGTGATGAGAGCGAGCTTTACGCTTCCCAAACTGCCATAACTCCTTTTATACTCATTCAATCTGGAAAGCTAATATGTCGTCATTAAGTAGAAGATATGCTATTCAAGGGATACTAGAATTGCTAAATTGGTCCTCTATTTAATAATGGTCACGTCGAAAATTTTAGCTCGAGAACCGCCGAAAGGTACTTTTTTCGCTGCATTGGCACTATTTCAACGAGTATAGCTCCTTTCAGGAGCAGTTATACACTAAAGTAGGGGCAGATTCGGAATCTGTTTAGCCTATCTCAACTTTAAAGATTACATGCTTATGAATTTGACGCTGAAAGCTGCGTTTCTTGTTGAATAGCGTACTCCTCCCTGTAATTTCACATGAACCCTTTCAGAATACTCTTGATTTTTCGAAATTGAGATTCTTTCTCCATGAGACCGTAGTTGAAGCGCGCGCAACAACTGGGCCTACTCTAGGATGCGCCGTGTGCTTCACTTCCCTTCAGATTCGAGGTTCACTTGAAAGATAAAATCCCCTTGGAAAACGTGCGAATTTTGAATTCTTTAACTTGTCGTGATCAAACTCTGAAGTAACCAGGAACTGCTACGCGGGCGCCTCTGAATCACGAAGATTTTATGTAGGCGGAATAACTTTATTATTAGAAATCCTCCGGCCTTCCATGGCACCGATTCGGTTCTTGATGTTTGTCCTACTACTGTGATGATCCTACTGCATCAATCCGACCCGATCTCTTTCTCGCAGATGCCAATACGACTCCCCCCCCACGCCCCCTGTGGCGTGTCGAGGATTCCTCAACGCACGCTCGACCCTGGATGGCACCATGCCAAACAACGCTCCAATCGAGATGGTCTATTTGCGCCGCTGCTAGTTACGCAGCTCGCCCAAACCAACAAGGAAACTGGTTGGCGGAGGCAGAGCGCTATTGAAGTCATACTCAGCAACCAGCGCACTTTTCGTCGTCAACGCGCTACACCTCGCTCCCCTTGCAGCTAAGTAACTGATTCGTATGGTGCATATGCTTGCCCCAAGCGCTCCCTCTTTAACGAATCTTCATTTGAGTAACAACAAAGCTCGCGACGCTTTTGCCACTGTAAAGATGACAGAACAAGATTCGGAACTAAGGAACAACCTGAACTCAAAGACGTGGCTCCTTAGCGTGGTGAGTGCGGGCGAAGAGACTCAGAATCTGCTTTACATTATGAACAACAGTCTGTGAGCCATGATGTAACATAGCTACGAGGTGTTGGGATGATGAGCAGATTATCAATGCAGCCTCTGCTGTTGCTGTTGCCTCATGCAGGACTCTATAAAGAAATGGTTCTTAATGAGTTGTGCCCTCTACCCCGATAATTGGTTGTTAACCTGTGGTCGGGGTAGAGGGCCAGCTGATACAAGGCACCAAAAACATTGTTTCAGAGGAATTCCCATGTATAGGACCAAACTGGAATGCAGCAAAGTGCATTTATACATATATACGTAGGGAGCGGCTAGAATGAAAACATGCAATTTCAAGCGATGTATCGAAGGAATGTTAATTTTCAGGACAGTTTTAGTACATATATGCTAGCGGTCTCTAACTGTGTAGATACTGAAGTTAGTACACAAAATCCGTTCGAGAGAAAGTTCTGACCACTAAAATGTGCAAATAGAGCAATTTTTTACTCTTTGATTTTCCAAAAGAATTCGAATGCATTCTGTAATAGAAACTTGCCCCTTGTACAGGGTGTTTCATAATTACTGCACCACATTTTGAGCTTGAATTCTGTGGATGTTTATAGCTTCCTTCCGAGATCTGCAGACCTTTTATCCTTCATTCCTATTGCAAATAACGATGCCATATTCCGTGGTTTACCGGTTAGCGTGCCTATGGTGCCCCTAAACTTAACAGAGTGCCTAATTTTTCGCTCAGCTAGGTCAGAAATCCGCGGCCTACTGCACTCTGTGGAGAAGAATATGAATGTAGGATCCGTTGCAGCTACCCCGTAAGTTCTGCCATCTTGGTTCCCAGGAAGCGAATCGACTGTAATACTCGAGTTTGCTTGAGAAAGGTGACCATCGCTGAAGTTTCAAACATAATTATATACCCTGCGTTACATAAATATAGGTCCACCCTAAATTTTTGCTGTTCCAAAATTGCTGTGCATTTTTGGAAAATGCTGTTATTACCAATAGATTCCCCATAACGAAAAACCTCAATACTAAATTTCTGAAG